TTTTTTTTTTTTTTGGTAGCGGGGATTGAACTCAGGTCCCTGCGCTTGCAAGGCAGGCCACTGAACCGCTGAGCTAAATCCCCGGCCTGACTCTGATTAGTGAAGGCCATACACGTTCAACAGAAGCAACAGGAAAAGAACAGGACACCGTGAAAGAAGAACAGGTACATTGAGAGGCTGTTTGACATAAGGGATTAAGGCCTGATTGTTGGACCACACTACTGGGCTCAAATCAGTCCCCTCCCAATTAGGTGCGGTGGCTTTGGATAAATGATTTTGCCTGTCTGTTGGCAGAGCAGCATTTACAAAATTAAAAAGTAATCTCGTTGAAAATCTAATAAAAGATCTTGGAAGAGGGAATGTGTAAAGAAAACAGCTCTGAAAGTTTCCCACCTAGGAGACCAGACTCCTCAAAAGGAGGCCCGTGCAGGATAAACATTTAAATATAGAACTGGGTGGGCCGGGGATATAGCTCAGTGGTTCTGCCACCTGCCTTGCAAGCACAAGGACTGGAGTTCAATCCCTGGTACAAAAAAAAAAAAAAAAAAAAAAAAAAAAAGAAAAAGGCTGGGGGTGTGGCTCGGTGGCACAATACTTGCCTAGCATTTGTGAGGTCATAGATTCCACCCCTAGAACCGCACGCACACGCACACACACACATACACACCCTCACGCACACTCACACACAAGACAACCCACAGAATAGGAAATATTTACAGAGCACATATTTGATAGTGGCTTGATAGCTAGAAAATATAAAGAGTTTCCTACAGCTCAACAAAAAAGAGACAACCTAATTAAAAAACCAGAGGACCTGAGATGTTTTCTCTTAGAATATATGCTAATGGCTAAGAAGCACATGAAAATATATGCAGCATCCCTGGGCACCAGAAAAATGCAAAGCAAAACCATGAGGTCCTCCTTCATACTCCCAAGGGTGGCGATAACTAAAAAGACAGAAGGTAACAAGTTATCACCAAGGACACAGAGAAGCTGGGACCCTGGTAGATGGCCGGTAGGAGTAGAAAGTGATGTGGAGGACAGTTGGGCAGCTCCTCAAGAAGTTCAACATAGGACAAATGACAATTTGGAAGCAAAGACTGGAAGATACTTGTACAGACATTCATGGCAGCATTATTCGTAGATAGTGGAAACAATTCAAATATCCATTGATAGATAAACAGATATAAATAATGTGTAGTTAATCCATCAAGGGAAGATTACTCAGCCATAAAAAGAAATGAAGTCCTGATATCTGCTCTGACACAGATGAAATCTGAAAACATTATGCTAAACTGGGTGCAGTGGTGCATACCTGTGATCCCAGCACTCTGGGAGACTGAGGCAGGAGGATCACAAGTTTGAACCCAGCTGGGGCAATTGAGCAATTTAACAAGACCCCGTCTCAAAATAAAAAATAAAAAAGGGCTGGTGTGTAGTTCAGTGTGAAGACCCTAAATTTGATCCCTAGTACCACAAAACCAAAGCAAAACAAGACAAAAACCATGGTTACATAAAATAAGCCAGACATAATAGGAAATATGGTGTGAGTTGGCTTCCAAGAAATATCTAGAAAAGGCAAATGCACACACACAGAAAGTAGATTGCAAGTTGCCAGGGCCTGGGGTGGAGGATAGGGAGTTATGATTTATTGCTATGAATTTCTGTTTACGTGGTGGAAAGTTTTGGACCCAGATAGTGGTGACGGTTGCCCCTCTCCAAGGGTCCCAGTCTTTACTTGGTTCTCAGCCCTGTGTTACCTTGGCGGTGATCCTGATCAGTGCTGGTCTGCTGTCTGAATGTGACTCCCCCACCAGCCTGGGATATATCATCCCTGCTGACTTCATCCCTGCACCACCAGCATCTGCCAGGGCAGCGGCTGCATGGCTGAGTGAAGGCGGGCTGGGAAGGGTCCGAAGGGGTCAGTGCAGTGGCCAGGAGTTCATCAGGAAGGGTCACATTATAAGACTAAGAAGTCCACGGGTCTGGAGTGTAAAAGTCTGGCCTAAATCCAGACTGGAGAGGTAGGCAGGACATGATTCATTCTTTTAAATGACCATTCTTTTTTTGTTTGTTTGTTTTTGTCTTTGGTTGTTTTGTTTTGTTTTTCAAGACAGGATCTCACTCCTGTAGTTCAGGCTGGCCTCGAACTTGCAGCGATCCTCCTGCCTTTGCCTCCTGAGTGCTGGGACTACAGGTGTGTGTCACCATACCGGTTAAATGATCATTCTTGCTTCAGGATGAAGAAAAGGTTAGAAAAGAGAATGGAGGTGTGAGGACGGCAGATGCATCAGCATCAGACAGTGAGCGTCTCATGTCTGGGGATTTTCAAGCGCAGGCTGCATGGGGAGGGTTTGCAGTGTATCAAGGAGAGGCCAGAGTTGATGCAACAGAACTGGAACAGGGAGACTTGTCTTGAGAGTTGTTGGCTCCTAAACTCTGCTCCATCACCCGGAGCAGGAGCCCATGGCCTCATCCCACCCTCCTCAGCCCTCACTCAGCTCCACCTGCCCACCTGGCTTGGAGTCCACGCACTCGGGCCTGCAGCCTGGACAGGCAGCGGAGGCGCTGGCGGGAGATGCAGGCACGGAGGCCACGACGCAGGGTGAGCAAGGCCTGAGAGCGCCGCTGGGCCCAGAGTTGCTGCAGCTGCCGCCAGCCCTGCTCCTGCAACAGGACCTGTGGGCGGAGACGGGGCTGCAGGTGGGCCAGGGGCGGGGGCCAGGGCGTGCCTGCTCTTCCTCAGCCTCAGCCTCCTCCCTTCCTGCCAAACCGTGTACCCTGGACTGTCCAGCCTGGTGCCCAGCACTGCTCCACTGTGCCACCACTTGCAGGATCACCCGACCCAGAGTTGGTCCCTACTCAGGCCCGAAGGTGCTGCTCCCTTACACCCATGCTTGACCGCACACACAGACCCTGGAACCCACCTGGGTGGCTCCAAGGTGACACAGCGGAGACTCAGCCCCCAGCACACAGCTGAGGATAGCTCCACACCTGTCCTGGTCAGAGGAGCTGCCTTGTCCTTCTGTCCCCAGAGCCCGGAACCTGTCCCAAGGACACACAGCTGAGGTCACAACAGCAAGGGCTCCCTTCAAGCTTGACCGACACCCGAGCCCCTCTCTAGCTATCCATTTCTGTGGTCATTCCACAGTTTGGGAGCCCTGTTACAGCCCCGCACTGGCGAGGTGGGACCTCTGCTTGGGGGAGGAGATGGGCGGGAAGACTGCGCGAAGGGGTCCATGAGGCTGGATGGTAGGAGCGATGGGGGTGGTCCCGCATCTTCTATCTGTCCCGGGTGCCGCACACACCCCCATACGGTGGGTCTCCGGTGCGCTGGAAGGGAGGCAGGCAGGGGAAGGGGCGCAGGGCAGCAGAGGTGGCTCATCGGAGGACCATTAAACAGACCTGGTCAGTGCTAGAGGGAAACAGCACCCCAAGCTCCCCCTACTCAGCCTCGGGGCTCAGGGTTCCTGGAAGGTGGCAACTGCTGCAGCGGGTGCATGTCCAGAGGGCAGGGACAGAACCCACCTGGCCTGGTCTTCTCGGAAACTGGCTGGCTCAAGGACACGGCACACACACCTGCTGCCTGCTTCCGGCTCAGGTGTCCCCATGACCCATGGCCAGGCTGTCCCCACTACCAAGGCCGTCATGACGAACAGGGCCGCCAGAGCCTGGGGTTCTGACAGGCTGCTGGCCAGGGGGAAGCCAAGTAGGCAAACGACAAAACAAGCCACCAGCTCTCCCAGGAGTTTCCAAGGTCCCCACACAGAGCGCCTCCTGCTCATTGTCCCTACTCCCACTGCTGTGCTCCGTTACGCCGCCCGCCATCTCCAAGTCGCCAGCTCACCCCTCACCACCCTGGGAGTCCCCCGGGCAGGCAGTGTCCCCGCTTTCTCTAACTGGGCTTTAGCACTGCACAGTCTTGCTGGGTGGAGGAGGGGAAGGTAAGTAATGAAAGGAGGTGACAGCTGAAAAAGGAAAGAGAGGAAGGGTCGGAGGAGGAGGCCTGGAACCAGGCCCAGAGTCTGGGAAATGGGACGGGTCCCTCTCCACCAGGAAGGAGCCCTCCCGTATGTCCTGCCTAGAGGCACTGGGCCCTTGGCTGCCCCACCCAAGGACCCTACCTGGCCAGGAAGGCCCGGAAGGGGACACGCATGGGGAAGTGGGCACTGCGGATGCCAATGGCTTCCAGGATGCCAGCCTGGCGCAGCTGCTCTGCCACATGTCCCACGTCAAAGAGGCCTGGGATCTATGGCCAGAGAGACAGTGGATAAAGGAGCAGTCATGGGCCAAGGTGTGAGGGGAGGAACTGGGGAGGGCAGGGCAGTGGGGGAGGCTGGGGACCTGGGGTGGGGTGGGGGTGCTCACCTTTCCAGGGTTGGGGTTGAGGCACTGGATGAAATAAATGTGACTCCTGCAGAGTAAAGGGGGTTCACTGGGCACAGACCAGCCTCCCACCCCATCCAGCTCCTGGGGTCACTAGTTGGGGTCACTGTTCTCACCGGCCCAGCTGCTCTAGAAGGTCCCCCAGGGACTGCAGGAAGCGGGAGGCCAGCGTGGGTTTGCCTAGCTGGGGCTCTGCTTTCTGGAACAGGCTGCCCACCAGCTGCAGGCAAGATGGGGCTCAGCCACTGCCCCCGGGCCTGTCCACTTGTCCCAAGAGCTGGGAGCCAGGACCCCAGGGCACTGGAGGCTCAGGGATGTCCCTTGGGCAAGAGTCTACGGGGAGAAGACAGAAGGGGAGGGTGGCCAGGGGCACCTGCAGCTGGCTCTGGGCAAGCATCTCCACCACAGCAGGGTCAAGGCGGTCTCGGTTTCTGGTTAAGAACTTGTGAACCTGCCAGACAAGATGGACAGAGCGGGAGCCAGAGACAAGGCTGAGGTGGAGGTGGCTGACCGCGTCTTGGGAGAGCGCTGCCTCTCGCACAGGCCTCCCTCTTAAGACCGCCTGTGGTGAAGCCGGTTCTCTCACACACGTTGGGACAGCTGCTGGACTTTCTATTTCATCCGGAATTGGTCCACTGCTTATCAAGGCCATCTGCACTAGTCCCTGGCTTTAGAATACATTTTCCTATCTGTACAGCAAGTCCCTCCTTCTTCTTCTGCTTCAGTATTTTACTGGTGACTCTCCAGATGAAGCTTGATTATTTTTCTAGAATAACTACACAAGAAGAGACCATACTGTCTCCACTGAAAGTCTGTGTGTGTGTGTGTGTGTGTGCCTGCCTCTCTCTCAGTGCTGGGGATAGAACCCACTGACCTACAACCCCAGTTCTAGTTTCCTTCATTCAAACTTCTAGTATTTCTTGTTTGGGTTAGTCCCGGGTAGTTTTTGTTTTTTCTCACATAACCAGAGCCTGCCACCTCCTTCGCGTCACTCGGCCTAGTCACACTGTCCCTCCTTGAGGACCAGACGCCTGCCCTCAGCAGCTGTCCTGGTGACATGGAATTCAGAGGAGGAAGGGATGTCCCTCAGTGAGCACGTGCCAGGCCTCTCAGTCTTACTGCAATTTCGGGCTCCTGGCAATGCTGTAGGATAGATTTCTGTGCCCATTTTACAGATGAGGAAAGAGACCCAGAAGGCAAAGTAAACAGAGTTCTCAGACCCAGCTGCTCGTGAAGGATTTCTCAGCCTTGTGCTCTGCTTTACATCTGGGGGGTCCCAAGGCTTCGACTCCCCCATCCCATAATTCTTATCTCCCTGGGGTCAAGGTGGGAACTCTGGTCTAGGTGGGGACGCGTGGCCAAGCCTTAAAGGGGCCTCCCTTCATCCACTCAGTGACTCAGTTTGGGAGGGGACACCAAGGTCACACTGCCGCACTGATTCACCTGGAGTCTGTCCTTGAGGCCCATACCTGGTAGGTGACAGTTCCAGCATAATGTCGCACAGTGAAGATAGGCAGGGGCAGCTGGGGCTTGGCATAGCTTGGGTGATCGCCGTGGTGATAGTGACACTTCTGGAGGAAGGTGTGGTCGGTGGCCTGATAAGGGCGAGTCAAGCCACCTCAGGCCTTGTATGTGCCGTCCAGGACCCAGCACAACACAGCCCGTTCCCCCAGCTTCTCTCCCAGGAGGAAGCGTCACTGTGCACGGGAGTCCCTGTAAAGGGTATGTATGCCCTCTTCCTCAATGACTTCATTTTGAACGGTCAAGAACCGTCTGAGAAAGACACGGTGGTCTCAGGCCCACGAGTCACCTCAGTCAAAGCCAGATTTGGTGGCTGTGGAAGAGGCCAGATGGAGCCATTTAAAGGAAATGGTGGAGGGGGCCTTAGGACAGATGTGTCTGTCACCCCCCTGGAAGTATGGTCCCACAGTTACAAGATTCTCAAGAGTCTCTCCCCTCCGGGGGGTGCGGTGCTGGGCATGGAATCCACAGTCTCACACGTGCTAGGCAAGTGCTTTACCACAGAGCTAATGAGCAACACATTGCAGCAAAGGGCTGGGGACCACGTGCCTTCATGCTACTTAGTGACAACGGTGGCTTGGGGTGATAATTCTAGGGTCAGCACCACCTCTGACCCAAACGGTGCTACACTTCAAGTAATCCACTCAATGGCGTTGCCAAGCCCTCAGAAACCCTTCTGGATGTTTCCAAACATAGCCCTGGACCTCAAAGACACCTGTGACAAGTTTTAATAAAAACCGGGAAAATAATTATTTACAAATTGATACCTTGTTATATCTAGTAAGGGATTTCAAATATGTGTGTTGATAAATGATTTTTTTCCCCAGTACTGGAGACTGAACCCAAGGCTTTCATACTGAGCTACATCCTTAGCTTATTTTTCACATTTTATTTTGAGCCAGGGTCTTGCTAAGTCCCTAAATTCCCCAGGCTGTGCTTGACTGTGTAATCTTTCCACCTCAGCCTCCCAAGAGTGCTGGGATTATAGGTATATAACACTGTACCTGGTGTCCTCTCTCTCTCTCTGAAAGGGAATCTCATTATTTAGCCCAGGGTGGTCTCAAACTTGAAATCTTCTTGCCTCAGCCTCCTGATCCTGGCATTAGAGGCACACACCACCATGCCTAGGCATTTTTTAAAATTAGCATTTCTCTCCTGCTAACCTGTGGGCTTCAAGAAGGGAGAGACTGGGTCTATGATCGCTTTTTATCTTTAGCACGGTCCTAGGGACACAGATTTGTCCTTCTTTAGGGACCCCTGAACGTGTGCTAGGGGTACAGCTGGACCCTCATACAAGGCCCCACCCCTCCCAGAACTCAGTCCAGTGCAGAGGAAAGAATGCAGGAATAAATCTACCATAGTCACATGTGGACGTGAGTGCTAAGATATAAAGTGGGACAAGGCTAACACCTAACGAGGAATATTTACATGGAGCTAGCAGAAGGCAGGCAAATAGTACTTTCGGAATGGACGCATGTGGCCCTGAGGTTTGTGCCTTATACTTGGAGGCCTGAGGGACACCTGGTCACCATCAGAGAGGACCCTGGCCAGGCCCACTGCCCTGCTCATCCAACTTGAGCACCAAGGCCAGGGACCTTGCTTAAGCTCACCCAGGGTTGAGACAGAGCCAGGGCTCCCCTTGGTGTCCTCCCAGGCTGTGCTGAGCAGCTGTGGGCGGGATCTCCCACACTCAGCCTTCTGCCCCCAGTTTGGGACCCTGGTGGCTCTGGGTCCCCACTTCTTATTCCTCACACTGGGGCCACTGTCCTGCTCTCACCTGAGATAGCCGCGTCTGGGCATCCAGGATACTCAGGAGGCTGTGGGGCTGGTCCACCAGGAGGTCCAGGCAGGACTCGCACGGAGGCTGAGGGATGGGCGCCCAGGGCAGCAGCTCTCGCCGACACTCCTCCTGGAATAGCCCACATCTAGCCTTTATTTTTTGTTTCCCTTTGGTATTGGGGACTGAACCACTGAGCCGCCCCACCCACTTTGAGACAGTGTCTTGCTATGTAGTTCATGTTGGCCTGGAACTCACTATATACCCCAGGCTGGCCTCAAATAAATGGTGATCCTCCTGCCTCAGCCTCCCGAGTGCTAGGATTACGGGCATGAGACACCATGCCCAGTGTATTTTTTTGTGGGTGGTAATGGGGATTGAACTCAGGACCTTGCACTTTCGAGGCAGGCGGTGATACCACTGAGCTAATTCTCTGGCCCTTCCTTTTTATTTTTTTATTTTGAGATGGGGTCTCACTAAGTCACTAAGTTGCCCAGGCTGGGCTTGAACTTGCAAGCCTCTTGTCTCGGCCTCCTAGAGTGCTGGGATTACAGCTCTGCACTACTACACCTGGCTGCCTTCAGCCACTTACAGTTCCTGTTCTCTAGGTACTCACTGAGCTGGAGCAGGGGTGAGCTTTAGACAGTAAACTGGCAGGAAGGACAGAGCCTCCCCGAGGAAAGGGGGCTTTAGGGCCGAGCTCTTACTGCACAGTTCTCTACCAAGGCAGCCTCTGCCGGGCAATTCCCAGGCTCTGCTCCCTACCTCCTCCTGGGCCTGCAGGGTCTGGCTGGAGAAGAGCTGCAGGCGCTCGCTGGCGAGGTTGTTGCACAGCTGTTCTAGGCTGTTCACCCGCAGTGCCTGGGGCAGCAGGCAGTGAGGTGGGCGCAGGGTGTGTACAGGGCCTGAGCCTTCACTATCTCCCCAGGGGCTGCCCCATCCTTCTCTTCAGGGCTCAAAGAGGAGTGCCCAGGGCTGAGGCTGCAGCCCACAGGGTCAAGTCCACAGGTCCTGGCACAGGGCAAGGGCCGCTGCATGTCAGGCCTCCCTCCGGCGGCCCACAGCCCTGTTCCCTGCTCCAGTCCCGCTGTGAGCCTTCACGGCTTGCTCTCAGCCACCCTGGGGTCTGGCATGTGCCACTGACTGCTTAGCTTGCTGACTACCAGAACCCCACATCCTCAGAAGCAGTGCCCCCAGGCTGTGGCCTCCAGGAAGCCTTTCTGGTTTCTTCGCAGAGGGTTGTACGCCTTCCTCTGCGGCCTCAGCACTCAGCTACAAGCCCAGCTCAGTGCCCCCTGCATGTAGCTGCACACCGCACACATGCACAAGAGCACACACACCATAGTCACTCACTGTCAGGGAAGGAGTGGTCACCAAGGGCACACCAAGGACCAAGGTCACCGAAGACACACATGTGGGCAGTGAACACTGCGCATTCAGGGTCTAAGGTGGCCACCTCCTCCCCCTCCAGCCCCCCCCGGTCTGAAGAGAGGATTCCTCTGGCAAGCGGTGTGGAGGCCACGGGAACTCGGGCAGGTCTGGACGACTCCCCCCTTCCCTCCCTCTTCGCAAGTGGGAGGCGAGGCTTTGGCGGCCCAGCCTGGGGCCTCCCAGGGTCTCTGCAAGGCCAAGCAGGACAGAACTCTCCAGAGTGGGTGTTAGGACAGGGCAGCACCTGCTGAGGGGCAGCTCTCAGGGACTGTCCGGTTGTGACCCTGACCTTACACACAGGAATGCTGGCCTCAACCAGGTTAATTCACTCGCCCCGTCACAGAGCTACGGAGCTGCAGAGTGCAAACTGTCCAGAGCCTCAGAGCTTCCAGGGTCCCAGCTCTTTAGCAGGACACTCAGAGGGGAGCCAGGAGGGACCAGAGAAGCCAGCAGAAGCCCTGCTTGGAAATGAACAGGGGCTCGTGGCGGGGACATCCTCCTCTCAGTCACACGCTCGGGAGGTGAGTGAACCGAGAACCCCAGGGTTACCGGCCAGCACCGCCTGTGCCTCCATCCTCACACCCCATCCCACTGCCGCTTAGCCCTCAGCGGCCCAGTAGTTGCCGAAGGAGCCAGAGAAGGGACACAGCCTGACACGCAGGTGGCTCAGGAAGAGCCGGGGTCCCCCAGAAACACAACACAGTGAAGTAGGCTCCCCCCTCCTGGGTCCCACCCCGAGGGCTGACCTCAAAGCCATAGGCGTCCACGACAGTGATGGTGCCCTGGCTGCCTCCTTCCCCGGGGGGTGCGAGCTGCGCATTGACCCTCCTCAGAAGCCAGTGGAAGAGCCGAGAGTACAGGGCCTTGGCCAGAGTGTCCCTGTGGGCACTGGGAGTCAGCCACGGAGAGCACAGCACCGGCCAGGCCCGCTCTCCCATCCCTGGGCCACCTGGCATCGATGGCGCTTTCCACGGGCAGGGATCTCGAGACCCGGCCGTAGGGCGTCTCCTGGAGGCCAGGGGAGGTGCCTGTCAGGCCTGGCAGGCACCAGGCCGCAGTGGTAGGATCGCCCCCACCTCCCCAGGACCCGTGGGCTTACCGTGACCCTCCTGGTGACAGCCCCCTCCAGGTGCTCTGGTGGCACCCGCAGCAGCTGGGCCACTGTGTGGATCTCTGCCCAGCTGGACACTGTGGCCACCTCCTGGGACTCCCGCTGGATGGAGAAAGGGACAGGGAGAGGTCTGCTTGTGGAGTGGATGTACTCCCCAGGGCAGCGACAGGGAGCCAGCTGCCCTATGACCCAAAGGGATAACAGCATGTGGGGAAATCTGGCCCATCGTGAGCCAGCCTCTGGGTCTGAGGACCTTGAGTGCAAGCCCTGACTTTCTGTCCTTACTAGCCAGGCAGATTTGAGAGTCTCTTTCCCTTCCTGAGCCCCTACTGCCTTACGGCTAGTTGTCGCAAGAACTAATTAGAAAACACGGGTCAGGTGATGCCTCCAGTCCTACACACATAACAGCTGCTCAGTTAATGCCAGGTGCTCTTCTTAGGGCAGCTGAGTGGAAGAGGCATCCGGAAGAAGCACGAGGGCGACCTTCGCATCTGCGCAGTGGGGATATCTGCTTTCCAGGGTGGCCCAGAGCTTTTCAGTCTCCTATACACGAGGGCTTGGCGACACTGTCACTACTCTGATCATGCAAACAACCACAACGGCTGCATCCCCATCCCCAGTGGCCCTGCCCACAGGTGAAGCCCACCTCGGAGGAAGAGAAACAGATGTTGCCCAGATGCAGGACAGCAGCCAGCAAGGCCCAGACTGTGGCCAACTCCTCTGGGCAGAAGCCCAGCACCTGCAGGGCCATCACCAGCCCTGAGAAGTCCTGGGCGTCCTCCTTGCTCTGCAGCCTGCAGGCCCGGCCCTGTAGGGTACAATGGGGCTGAGGGGCAGGGTCTGGCCCTCCTGCGGCCCCTCCATCCGGCTCCTCTGAGGGCCGCTGGCAGAGACTCTTGTCTGCACTCGAGGGCGAGGGCGTGCCGCACCTGGTTGAGGTAGTAGTAGGCCTCTGGTCCCTGAAGGGAGAGCTGCTCCCTTTCCCTGGGGTCCAGCCCTGCAAGCAGCTCATAAAAAACATGGAAGCTCCGCTCAGCCTGGGCCTGGTGGAGCAGGACTGGATTAGAGGAGCAGGGCCTGGAGCCACGCCCCCTTCTTTCCCACTCTGGTGGCTGTGATGGGGTGGACAGGAGGTGGCCCTCACCTGAAACACCACTCTGGAAGTCTCGAGCAGATAATGTGACACAGAGGCTCCCACCATGACCCCACTGTAGACACAGGAGACAGATTTGGGTGCCCGGGACATACACCAACGGGCCTGTCTCAGAATGGGCCCACCAGGGCCTGGGGCCAAAAGCAGCAGCCCAGGGCTCCGAGGAAGGATAATGTCTCCCAGGTGCCACCATGCCCACTGGAACCCCATCACTCACTGCTGCAGATGGAGACACAAGACCTGGCCGAAACGGCTGGCGTTGGCATTGAGGATGGTCTTCGCGTGGCCAAAGCTACTGAGTACGGGCAGCAGGTCACTCAGCTGTGTGTGACGAGAGTCACTCAAGTGTCCCTGGGATGACAGTGGTGCCCCCACCCACTGAGGGCTCTATGCCTGCTGCCTGAGCCGCCCTCCCGCCCCTCCCCAGTCCCATCAGAAGAGCCCCACCCCGAGCTGACCACACCTGTGACTAATGCCCCAGGAGGTCACCATCCTCCTGGCCTAAAGGAGAATGGTCCCTCTTGGACCCCTGGGAAGTGGCCAGCTGCCCCCTGGAGGGAGACAGCCTCCATCCCAGCCTCACCTGGCACCCTCTTTCCCCTGTCTGCCCCTGTTCCAGGCTGCTTAGGAACTGCAAGATCTTCTTGGTGGCTTCTGTTTTCCCTGAGCCGCTGCGCCCCCTTCAGGAGGGAAGAGCCAAGGATGGGAGAAGGCCACCAGGAAGGGCATAAGGGACGGCCCCACAGAGCTGGGCACTGGGGATGTGCCCCCCAGAAGAGACACCTGCCCTAGGGGAGCACCCCAGAGATGTGGAAAGATGGACCTGAGGCATGGAGACCAAACAGAAATGTCCCTACAGGTTGATGTGTGAGGACCTCAGGAGCATGGCCCTGGTAAAGTCCAGAGCTGCCACCCAGAGCGTCTGGCCTGCAGACCCTCAGGGTGGGGACTCAGCAAGGAGGACAACAGACTTACCCCAGGAGGATGCAGGGGTCCTGGCCTGGGCTCTGAGACAGGCTGTGGGCTGCTGCCACGATGGCAAAGATATGTCTGGGGGAGGAGAGAGATGGGTGTTCGGGGACAGTCACGGGTGTAGGAGGATGTGCTGGCCACCTGGGATGTAAGCACAGGGTCCAGGGGGCAGAGTCACCTACGGGCTGGTGCTGGGGGCCTTCCCTGGTTGGTAGCTGGCCAAGACCTCAGGTGAGAAGAGAGGCAGGGGCTGGTAGGGGTTCAGAGCAACCAGGAGGGGTCCCCCAAATGTCTGGGGGAAGAAAGCAGAAGCTCCCATGAGAACATGGAGGGCAAGGGGAACGCCAGTGAGGCAGCCCCGATGTCCCCAGGGGAGAGAAGTGCAGCCACCATCCCTCCCTGGAGCACCCCCATACGTAGATTCGGCCCAGGTGAAACCTCTTCTTGAGGCACAACAGCACTGAACTGTCACACACCAGCCTGTGGGGACAGGACAGGTGGGGATGAGCAGCCAGGGACAAGGGAGGCCCAGGGACACCTGGGGCAAATTATCCACCACAGAACAGGGCACACGCCTGTAGTCCTAGCGCTCTGGGAGGCAGGACGATCACAAGTTTGCAATCAGCCTGAGCAACTTAGTGACCTAGCAAGACCCTGTCTTAAAAAATAAAAATTAGAAAGGGCTGTGAATGTTAACTCAGAGACC